TTTATAATTGCTATTTATGTTTGTATATTTTCATGCCAATTCTCCAGAATGAAAGATCAGGAATGTGTCTTACACTTCTTACACTCTTTTCTACATATCTCTCAATATGTAAAATATTCCATGTTTAATAAAACTCAAAAGTGCATGATTTTCTCCAAGTGGCTGAATTCTAGAGTCAGGGGAGACTGGGAAATCTGAAGGGCTGGTGCTTTGATTAATGGAGTCTGGACTAAAGGACACTTTAGGCCTTTGAACCTAGTTATGTACTCAAAATAACAGATTTTGACCAAGTGGCTTTTATTGGTACATGTTATTGAGGCTGATTTATGGAGAAAGATGGAAAGCATGGATGAGCAGTTTGGTGCAAAAATATATCTAAAACATGGATAAAAATAACCTGTGGAAAAATCTTTCCACAGTCTGGTGGTCATGTCAAAGTTTAAGGGCTCAGCTTCTGATTAAGACTAATGCTCCGGATTCCGTATTCAGTGTAGCCCTAGACTGACGCTTTGTCGAGATTTATATTTAACACATGCAGCACGACTATCTTCCAGCAGGTGGCGCTGCCTCACTACAGAAAATGTGCGTTGTGTACTCAGCCTCCCTAATCTCATTAGTATTGATCCGGCAAAGACTGACCCAGAAAGACATTTTGAACATTTCATCTTAGTAGAAATAAGAATTGATTGCATTTATTATCTATTCCTGTATAGATAAGAGTTTCAGAAAGCCAGGTTTTAAAGTTTTTTTTAATTTTTTATTTTTAATGGTTTTATTTTCACATTTGTGATCTTGGGAGACCAGGTTCCACATTATTATCCCTGGGACCTTCTCCACACAGCGAGAGGATCTTTCAGATCTTATAATCAGGTGAGACAGGCAGAACTGAGTAGGCATCTAGGCCCACCCTTCCTTTCTTCAGGTGAGGATTTTGTGCCGGGATCCCTGGACAAGGTCATTCATAAAACCAAAGGCAGAGCCAGGAACGCAACCCAGGTCTCCTGTCAATCGCCTTCACTGTCCCGTCCTGTCTTGGCCTTTAGCATGCCACGTAACAACAGAACACCGTGCCATTAACTAATGTGACAAAAGCTAACATCAAGGATGGGAGAAAAGGAGAAAAGCAGGGGAGGAAGGAAAGGAAAGGAAACACAAGAAGCGAAGGAGAGGGAGGAAGGAGCAGAGGGAGGGGGAGGAAGCCCAGTGAACTTGCAGTGGCTCTAATTTGTTGGGAACCGCCCTGACTGGTATCAGAGGCTGAAACCCCCGCCTAGGCTAAAGCTAAGGGAATGCCCTTGGAACTGTAAACCAGCAAGGAGATAAAAGCTTATCTTCCTGGCAGGAATGCTGCTTCTGCTGCTTTATTCATGACTGAACCCCCAAAAGCTTGGTCGGTTAGCCAAAGACGGGTAAGATTCCCCACGGGGGGAACGACCTAAGCCAGGCACGATCACTTTGGGAGGCCCCCCAAAAAGAAGGACTTGGGGGGGCTGCAGCAAAAGGGGGGTGATGGACCCTCACTCCTCGGCTTTGACAAAGTCTGAGTTCTCATCGTCTGGAAGAAAATCTCCTTATCTCTCGGTTGCCTTAGTTCCCTTGCTCCACCTAAGCCTAAAACAATGACAGGGTGGTACAGCTCGGTACTGAGAAGTGCGGATTTCCCGGGGTGATCAGGCCTAAGAAAGAACATGTAAATTACTGTGAAACCTTCTTTGTTTAGAATGCTCTCAGTTGAATGAGAAGGGTCTTAGGAGGAAGTTAGTTTGTTCCTCAGTCTTACAGCTCTTTGACCCCCAACTCAATAGACCGGCAGAGTTCTTTGTTTTCTATAGTTCCTTACTTCCCCCTAATGAGTACTGTACTTTACCTGAATTATTATGCAAAATGAGCCTAATAAAAGCAGGTATGGACAGTAAATCAGCGCGCTCCCCACTAGGGGGGGTGGCCATTCTGTCCCTACTTCCCCACAGAAACTAGTTTGTCTCTGTGCATGTTGTTATTTCTCGCGTGTTTATCGTCGAGCCATCCACAGTGTTCCGTGGTCACTGCTGGCCGGTGACCCACGCGCAACACTAATTATCAGTGACACCTGGTAGATCCTGCGACGGTTCGGCCTGGTTTCGCACACTCTTAGAAATAGGATACAGAACACCGTCTAGCCAACTGAATTGTCCTATTAGCTCTCACGGCATCCTATTTTGACTCAGGCAACAAATGAAAAGGTGAATTTGGTGGCTTGTGTGTCTCGGTGAGGATGAAGTTGGCAGCGGTGGGCAGGCATCAAGCAGCTTCCTGAAGCTTACCCTAGGCTGACATCATGGAAATGGCCCATTCACGAGGGCAGGTGGAATGTGGAAGTTTTTGGGAACAAGTCCACATTCACAGTCAGAAAAATTCCAGGAAATTCAGACACGTGGTTTTATTAGATTCATGTCTAGAATGAGACTTATTCCTCTAAGCTGAAGCACAGCACAGAGGCCATGGCCTGAGACGGCAGGTACAGTGCTCTCATTTCTGACTCAGACGTGAACTACTGGTTTTCCTTTTTCATGACGTATCTGATTTGAGAGGGAAAGCCCTCCATGGAGCAACGCCTTATGCCATGGATCTCACTTGACCATATCAGCTATCCAAACTCACCTGTCCTATGTTCTACTTAAAACCTGGCTAACTGAGCACAGAAATTGATCTGATGCACTGATTTTTATCTTGGAGGGCATGTTTAATTTTTTTTTAGTACAGGCCTCCTAGAAACATAATGCTTTAGCTCAGGAGTTACTTCAGCTTCGCCAGTGGGGGTTTCTGGAGTCGTATTATGTTTGAGGGAGGTGGGTTTAAATCACTCTGTACTCCATTTGGTTGCCTGCCAGTCATACCACCTGGGCAGCCATATGCTCTTGCAAATGCACGAAGGGGTTGTATAAGAAAATCACCCATTTAGCAAACATGATTGAGGACCTGCTAGCTGCCAGGCACTATGCTGTCAGGGTCTAATGCAGAAAGACAACGTGAATGTAGATCTGTGCCTTTAGGGAAGAGCCAGGCAAAGATTTTGACGGTCCTAATGCACAAGTGCTGAGTGCTGGAGTCAGGGAGAGCAGGGGACGGCCTTCAGGGTTGGGAAGGAGGTAGACTGCAGCAAATGGCAGTGTAACCATACAGGAGCTTCATTTCTTCAATATGCCTTTTCCCTGAGTTCAGGCTAGCTTTGTCCCGTCTAATAGCCCCATGACTCACTGGCCTCCTTTCACCCAGACCCCTCCACCTTTGCACACACTGCGTGTCTACTCCCTTTCCTTAGGACATCAGGTCCTGGCCAGCATCAAACTGTCTTAAGAATAAAGCCTCAGGTCTGTTGATCAAGGGAACAGAGTTTTGGTCAAACTAAAGATAACATCTTGACCTCAGCTGCGTTGCAGCCGCAGGCCTGAGAGGTGATCTTACCGACCATACCCTCACAAAAACCAGACAGAATGCCGCCAAGGCTGACATCAGGACCTGATCCAACAATCAACTCCTCCCTCTCCTGGCCCGGACCAGCCAGTAGAGCCCTTGCCCCCAACTCCCTTAGTCTCTGCGAGTAATGATTTTCCCTATCTAATCTATCCCCCAGAGGCCATCTCAGAGACAGGTAACAGGGCGCTACCCACCTGTGTCTCCGGGCCTGGCACCATTTCCTTAAATAGACCTCTGCTCTCTGTGCTACATACTCCTGTTTGTGTTTTTTCGGTTTTGATGTACACCGGCAAACAGACCCCTTCGGTGTAGTAATAGTAGCTGTTTGTGTTGAGGCAGAGGGAGAGGAAAGAACCCAGGACAACCTCCAGTTTTATTTTGCAAACCAGGCAGGTAGAATGAAGAGTGCTAAGAAGGAGAGTCTTGGGGGAACCATAGTCACACAAAAACGTGTGCGTGGTGTTTATGTGAGTGTATAAGAAAATAGGAGTATGTTGGGAGATGGGGGTGGTATATTTTCAATGTAGGTGGTGAATGACTTTCAGCCTAAAGAAAGGCAATCCTCAGGAGGCCTCACAGTCACCCATCAGGAATATAGCACACACCTCAATCTTTATCACAGGCATAACACTTCAGTTATTAAAAGACCATGCTTCGTTTTCTCCTTACCCTATAGGAGTTCAGATAGGCACAGTTCTTGCATTTTAAGCTCAAGCAACTACAGAAAACCATACTGATAAGGACCATAGGACAACTGAGCACACGCAGAGCTCAACAAGGAATGAGAAACATGGGAGGGGTGCCGTGGGAACCCCCCTCTGCCAACCGCATCACCCAGCACTGGGCCAGCGCTCACAAACAGGCCACCATGCTGCTCACAGGACACTCACGCATGCATACTTAGGTGTGAGGTTAGAGAATAACATCGCTTACTTTGTCATCTACAAACACAACTTTTCAGCAGGCCCTGGGGCATTACTGGCCAAACAGTTTCTCAGGGCTGATGGCTGTTCGGGAGGTGAGAGAACTTTGCTTGGAGAGACACTAGGACTTGCTTTTGACCCCACTGGACCTTCTCTGTGCCATGTACCTTGGAGCCACAAACTCTAAAATTATCTACGAGTATTACGCCTCAGTCTAAAAAAGCAAAACCGTGAGCTGGAAAACTGAGTCCTTGGTGAGCCCACATGGCTGTGTAGTTGGCTTTGGGCAGTGGGAATGTGTGGGCAGAGCTTCTTCTGTAATGCTCTGGGTATGAAGCGCACTGAACAGGAGACAGAGTGATAACAGTCTTATCATATCATAGGCCTCTCCGGACACTGGCTCCGGGACTTACTAATGATGACAAAGAAGCCAAAGTAAAATGCCAGGGTCCTGCCCTTATTTTCTGAGAGTCTATACCTTTGGTGGAAAGAATTTAATATATTATTTAGAAGAAATTTATAATAATGATAAGTATTTGTAGTTGGATCAGATTTAGGACAATCCCACGGGTTCAGTGATTTTCTAACTTTGGGAAACCCTCCGTATTTTCTCCTCCATAGGGAACATCTCTGCCATCTGAAGGCTTCTGAGGATTTCTGCAGGAGAGAGCTCCCCGGATGACATCAGGCTGCACAACAGCGAAAACACGCCCACTGGTGAGGATTTCACTTACAGTTCTGAGAGTGCATATCATAGTCTTTCTCTTCTATGTTCTCCACAAAACCTTTGGTAAAAGCACCAAAATACTTTGAGGTGAAGAGGGGTGAGTTAATGCTTTGGGGTGAATGTGAAGAGTTATTAGGATATGTCAAAAGGAAAGACTGGCTTTGGGGACCAGCTAACCCATGGGTTCCAGCACGAGGCAGAGTGAGGGGTGGTGTAACAGTGAGATGTTTGGTCTCTCTGACTCCAGCTTAATTCTTTAATAGCTTCTGCTATAGATATGCTAATTATGGGAGGAATTCTGTTTGAAGCTTGAGTTTTTCGAACAGCCCCTTACTGAGGTCCTCTCTCCTAAAAGGATGGGGAAATACTTGTGTGTCCAGACAAAAGGACTATTTATCAAAGATTTGCAGGCGCCTCCTGAATGATCAGCAGGAGTCAAGAAACCTGGAACAAAGAGATTTAGAGATCTGTGCTCTGCCTCAGACCCCTGTGGGTGCCCAGACCTGGCGTCAGTCACCTCTGGACTCGCCCATTTTCCCCTTCCTTTGATTGAAAAGAAGCCTGGCCTTTGGGCTGGGGAAGATGGATGTGAGGGATGTCTGTTGCCCTCATCTTCTCGATTGTGCATCTTCTGAATCAGTAAACACTTCCTTACTCCCAACTTTGACCTCTTGAATATCGGCCTTGTGAAGCATCGGGCACACAAACTTTTGGGTCAGTGACAACGGGAGTTCAGAGGAGGGCCATGTAATGGAAGTATGCGTAGGTCAAAGAAGGCTTCCCAGATTGAAGGGTGAATGGGAGCTCTCCGAGTATTCTAGTCTCTGCTGTTAATGTAACAAATGACCTCAAAGCTTAGAGTCTGAAAACCATTTCATCTTGCTCACAACTGGGAGGGCCAGGGAATTGGGAAGGCCTTGGTGGGCAGTTCACATTTGGAGTGTGTCAGGTGTTTGCAGCCAGATGGTGACCGGGCTGCAGTCATCCAAGGGCCAGTGTATTCGTGTTCTAGGGCTGCTATGACCAAGCACCACAAACCGGGTGGCATCAAACCACGGAAGTGCATTTCCCACAGATCTGGAGACTAGAAGTCCAACATCAAGATGTCGACAGTATGTTCACACACACAGACCCAGGGAAATGCCCTGAGACTGAAAACCTGCCAGTGTAAGTGGAAGGCAGGGACAGACAAAAGAAAGAGGCAGTCCGCCCCAGTCTGGCGATTAACTGAATGTATGGAAACTTACACTGGGGGCGTGTCTTAGGCGGCTACAAGACAGAGTGGATATCATCTGTGCCACTGGGACAGGCGCCTAAAAGAATTCACCAGAATAGGGCAGGATCGATAGGGGAACTGGTATGTGACCTACTTCAGGTAAGGGAAAATGCCTTACATGCTTGTCCATGTCAGGACAATGACCTGTTCCAGGAACCAGCATGCAGTGGGTCACAGGGAGAGATAGTGGTTTTTGTCAGAAGAAAAACATTGATTACAATCAGACTGTCTCTGAAGGTGTTTATGGGAAGCATTCTCTGTTTGGGCCAGGCTCAGCTGCACCTTCAGCGGTGGTCACATCATAGAACAGCAGCATGGTCCCTGTGAAGAAATAGTGAGGATCATTCCTTGCCTCTTCCTAGCTTCTGGTGGTTACCGACAATCCTTGGCTTATAGATGAATCCCATCAATCTTTGCCTGTTTGTTACATGGCATTCTCCCTGTCTCCTTCTTCACAGGGTCATCTTCTCTTTGTATGTGTCACTGTGTCCAAATTTCCTACTTTTAAGGACACTGATCTTTAGGGACCACGCTGATCTAGTATGACTTCATCTTAACTTTGTTATCTCTGCAAAGACCCTACTTCCAAATAAGGTCACAGTCACAAATTCCACAGGTTAGGACATGAATATGGTTTTTTTTGGGGGGGTGGTCACAATTCAATCCATAACAGCCACTTAGGGCTGAATGTCTCAGATGGCTCACTCCCATGGTTGGCAGTTGAGGCTGGTTAGGAGCTCAGCTGGGCTGCTGACAGAATGCCTAAGGGTGGTGGTCTGAGAGTTGTCGAATTTCTTATATGATGATTGACTAACTCCCCCTGCCGCAGCAAACATCCTGAGAACCAGCAGTAAGCCTCGTGGCCTTTCCTGGCCTTGTTCTAGAAATCATACAGCATCATTTCTGACATACTGTACTGGTGGCAGCTGTCACAAGCTTGTCCAGAATCAAGAAGAGGGCTGTGGGCCACATCTCCCAAGGGAAGTAGTGTCAACAACTCGGCGGACGTGTTTGACAGTGGCCACACCAAGCAAAAGGGAATGAATGGTGCTGCTGCTGGTGCAGGTGAGATATAGAAATGAAGACCTGTGAGATGCCCAGGTCAAGGGCACTTTTAATTTTTGTGTAGTTGTTTCTAAAATGTTTGCTCAGGGAATAATTGGTATGAACCTTTAAAGAGAATACACAGAAATGAGATGGGCATGCGATTTAGTGTAGAGATATTTTTAAACCCAGGAAAAAGGACTACTCTCTCCTCCTTTCTCTCCACTGTCCTTTCCTTTCTTTTCTTTTTCCCTTTTTTCCTTCCTTCTTTCCTTTTTCTTATACTTTAGAATCACCTTACATGTAGTGGAAGCATTAATACTTGTATTTCATAATACAGAATCAAGTTTGGCTATTATATATATGTCTGCCCATGATTCTTACTTATAAATGGTATCTTAATTCATGAATTAATAAATTTATATTCTCTAATATGTATTATAGCACCAAACGATTACATGCATATTTTAGAGTTAGACCAATCTAATCATAGGTGAATTAATTATATTGCTTCAGTTGAATAACAAAGCTATATAGAAAAATCAAAGTATATACATCAAATATTGAAGGTAATAATCTGAGGCAGGTAGCATTCTGGAATGATTTTTAAAATTTCCTTCTTTACATGTTTCTATAGTTTTTAAAGTCACCTCAGTAGACACATATAACTTTTAGAAGATAATACACTATTAAGATGTTATGACTCTAATTTTGCTCAGATTTTTGCTTAAAAATTAGAAACAGTATTTTATCTTATTTTTCAACAACTAAAAAGTTAGAACTTTTAAAAATGCCTTGGTATAACAGAGGGAAGTTATTTAATTTCATACAGCACCTGGAAGGTGGTCTGGAGAGCGTCTTTAGGGGGAGCCTCTCAGAAGAAATAACATTTTTGTTGATTCCTAAAGAAAAAGAAGCCAGTTAATAAAGAGCTGAGCCAGAGCATTCCAGGCAGAGGAAAAAGCGTAAAGCCCTGGGGGTGCAAGTGTGCTCGGCTTGTGTGAGGAACAGTCAGATGGTTCCTGCAGCTGAAGCACAGTGACGAGTTGGGGAGCGTCTGAGGTGAGGATGGAAAAGGTGTCAAGTGACCCAGATTTCCTAAAGCAGCGGTTGACAAACTTTTTCTGTGAAGGGCGAGATCGTCACTACTTTAGGCTCTGTAGGCCATACAACACAAACTATTCAACTCCTCCATTGTGTGAGAAGTAGCCACGGCCAATACGTGAAAAAATCAGTGTGTCTGTATGTCAGTTTACTTTATTTCTCCATCCTGTGATTTGAACTTTATGTCAAAGTCATGCATCATTGCTAGCGTAGGCAGCTAGCTACTTAGTTGTTGACAAAAGAAAAGGGAACAAAACCCATAAAGTCTAAGCCTGATTAAGTCTAGAAGTGAAATTCCTCTGCTGGACGTGTGTGCAATAGAAACTAAATTGCTCAAGGGGAGGCATGTGCACGCGCAGTAGGGACCAGATGAAGCTGCAGAACTTTGGGGCATCCGCCGTAGGAGCCAAAGTGGTGAAATAAAAGGGTGGAGTCTAGCCATCTAGCCTGGGAAAACCTGAGGTAAAGACTGGGTTGGACGGGGAGGGCCCAGCAGAAGCCCCAAAAGGATTAGGAAGAAGATTGGCTAGTTTGAAAGAAAGATTGCTTTCTCCCAAGCTTGAGGTAATACAATTGAAGTTTACAAACACGTGTCAGGTGTTTGCTCGTGTTTGCTCTTCCTCGTGGCTCCAAGAGTGGCCAGAGAGCAGAGCGCGTGGGAGGGCAGCTGGGAGCAGAGCTTCTGGAGGACTACCCGAGTCCAGGATGACGGCATTGCAGTTCTGAGTCCTGACCCTCCTGGGTGGGCATTGTGCTCGCCAGGCCCAGGACTGACTTCACAGCAAGACGGGGCTCAGCCCTGTGGTCACGGCCGAGCCGCCGGGCACCTGGGGACACTCCTTTGCTTCCACTCCAATAGATCTTCCCACTCACCTCATCCTCCTATGCAGGGGCCCTGCGAATGCTTTTCTCATGAATCCATGGAAGAGTCCTATTTCCACCAGCAACATCATGAGACTTTGCATTTTTTCAGCTATTTAAAAATGGAACATTCATTTGTGTGTTATAAGTTGTATAAAAACAGGCAGTGGGCCAGCTCAGAGATCATGATGAGAAACAAAAATGTTTTCAAAGAGCGATAGGAATTTGTTGAAGCATTTTAAGGGGTGAGGAGAGGTGTCTGCAAAATTACTTCTTTCCTACTTTCAAAAATTTACTCTGGGGACAATGGAGAGCAAGTGTAGGGGCCTTGAATGAAAATAGAGAGGCATTTTAGGAGGCTGGAGCCCTGGACCGGAGGACGGTGGTGGGCTGGAGGAGGGTGGCTGTGAAGTCCATGGGCACCTGCCTCTGTGCCTAAGAGAACTAACGAGCATCCAGACCCCACTGTGCACCAGGGCTCGCCCTGGCACCTTCTGTGCATTTCCTCTTTATCTGAGGCCAGGTGCAAATATCCATCCTTCCTCAAACATTCCTATTTCCAGCTTTTAAGATTCCTGAAATTCTTGCCGTTCTAGCTAGTACCGGTTTACAATAATAGCATTGTCTCCAGAAGGTTCCCGTTACCTGGGAGATCGATATGCTTACAAATGGAAAGAATCAACTTGCTCATAATTTCTA